TGACTGGCTTACAAGCTTTCAAGACAGAGCCTAGTTCCAGATGGGGCAGGGGAAGGTAGAATCAATAACCCCTGAATGATTTCCAATCCGTTGGGGCTGGGTTGATGAAAGGAAATGGGGATAGGACTTGTGTGGTACAATAGTGAATAATTGCCATCAGGTCTGACTGTGAGGCTAGGAAATATAGAGGTAGATGTTTTTTTTTGTCAAAAGGAGAACAGTGATTGATTTAGCAGCCCAGGAGCGGAGGTCCCTGGGACCATCAAGTGAGAAGAATGGAGAGCGAGACCCTACCCAAAAAGGCAGTGATGTGAGGAATGAAGCCAGAGACAATGATTTGGACAGATGGAGTGGCTGAAACACTGAACTCAAGGAGGTAAAGGGGCTGTTTGCTGGCAGCTGGGGGGTGGAGGCAGGCCTGTGTGGTGTACCTTTTGAGGTTATATGATGATGCATGGAGGGGACTGTAATCATGGCAATGAAATGAAATACAATAGGATGAGTATAAAGCTGAAGTTCTCCCATGTAAACCTCATAATAAAAACTTTTAAAAAATAAAGAAGAAATACAACCAGAATGTTCCTTAAAAGCTAGGATGGCCAGACTTCATATCTCATATTTTGCACACATTATCAGAAGGGACCAGTCCCTGGAGAAAGACATCATGCTTACTAATATGGAAGATCAGTGAATAACTGGGAAACCTCCAACAAGTTGGATTGACACAGGGCAGCAACCAAGGGCTGAAGCTTAGCAAGGATTGTGAGATTAGCTCAGGACAGGACAATGTTTCCTTCTGTTAGTGCGTAATGTCACTGTGACTCAGTACTGACTCAAGGGTACCTAACACTGAGAAAAACAACAGCTCTAAAGAGAGAAAAATCACAACAGTTAAGATAAACTAAGAGATAAGGCCTGAAGTAGAGCATTTAATAAGAAAAAGAACAAGGAGGAAAGAAAGGCATGTGGAAGGAAAAAGAACACTGAGAAGTAGGTTGTGAGAATGAATAAAAATCAGGAGTCCCTGGGAGAAGCATATGTTTAAGCACTCTGATTGTTGCTGATGGTTGTGTGCCATAGAATCGGTTCCGACTCAAAGAGACCCTGTATAGGGTTTCCGAGACTACAAATCTTTACCAGAGCAGAAAGCCTCCTCTTTCTCCTGAGGAGTGGCCACTATACTATCAGGGATCCTTGATCCGGGCTGCTAACCTCAAGGTTGTCAGTTCAAAACTACCAGCTGTTTCATGGGGGAAAGATGAGGCTTTCGGCTCCCGTAAAGATTTGCAGCCTTGGTTACCCTGTGCAGGTTCACTGTAAGTCTGAACTGACTCCACAGTACTTAATAACAACAACAATACTAATCAAATGGTTGATGGTTCAAACTTACCCAGGGGTAAGGCCAACTGCTTTTGAAAGTTCACAGCTTTAAACATCCTTTGTAGTACAGTTCTACTCTACACATGTAGGGTTGCTATGAGTATGAATCTACAGAACAGCAATTAATGACATCTTTCCTAACTAACCATATTTTCAGTAATGGAAAACTTTTTTTTTTTTTTTTTTTAATTTGGTGAATAAATTTTCCCCAAGCCTATGATCATAATCCTGGTGTGGCACTGCAGAACAAACACTGGACTGCTAACCACAAGTTGGTAGTTCAAAACCCACCAACCACTCCTCAGAAACCCTATAGAGTCATTATGTTTTGGAACTGACTTGATGGCACTTAATAACAACAGTGAAAAGAAGTCTATATTGTTGTTAAGTATCGTCAAGTCAGTTCTGACTCATAGCAACTCTGTATAAGGTTTGTAAGTAGCAGCTGGTGGGTTTGAACTGCTGACCTTATGGTTCAAAATCCAGTGCTGATCCTGCTGCACCACATGAGAATCTATTGTCATGGAATAATGAAGCTGGGTGACAAGAGTCTTGTCAGGGATTAATAGGGTCCTATGAATTTGCATTTTTAACTAGAGAAATTTCAGAACACTAAATGGATTCAGAGAAATGGTTCTGATGTAGCCTCATATAAAATTTGTTGTAATAACACAGGAAAATATGCCAGCCTAAGACTCATGAAGTCTTTTATGTTTATAAACCTATTTAAGTTTCACTTGACTTTATGAATGCTATTATGTGATGCTTACCAACATAGTGATCACATTGAAGATGAAATAATTTGCATGTTTTGCATTCCCACCTAACAAGATCAAATTTCTTCAGGCTCTTGAAAAATAAGCCAGTCCCTTAATTTTCAATTGTTGTTGCAGTTTTTGTGCCGTGGAGTCGATTCCGACTCATAGAGACCCTACACAGGGTTTCTGAGGCTGTAAATCTTTACGGGAGCAGACTTCCTCATCTTTCTCCCGTGGAACCACTGGTAGTTTTGAACTGATGACCTTGCGGCTCACAGCCCGATTCATAACCACTACGCTACCAGAGCTCCAAATTTTCAATTAAAAAGGCACATTAATTTACAGATAGGACACAGTTGTTGTTTCTCTCAGGAAGAAACTAATACATTAAAGTTTGCCATGCTACAATCGATTAAGCATTTCTTAATGTTTTCTCATCCACTAATCATCTGTCATTAATATCAAATACAAGTAGAATTTTGCTGAAGATAGTTCAGAAACTTCTAGAAATTAAAGTTAGATTCAGAGAGGATGTGGAACTAAGGTTATCATTGCTCATGTCAAATGAGTCTTGATTGAAAGCAGAGAATATCAGAAAGATGTTTACTTGTACTTTATTGACTATGCAAGGACTTTTGACTGTGTGGATCATGACAAAGTATGGACAACATTATAATGAGTGGGTATTCCAGAACACTTAATTGTGTTCTTGGTACATTACATAGGGAACCAGTACATAGATAAAAAGGCAGTCATTAGAACAGAGCCAAGGGGACAATGAATGTGTTAAAATCAGGAAAGCTGTGTGCCAGGGTTGTGCCCATTCACCACACTTATTGAATTTATATGCTGAACAAGGAATTCGATAAACTGGATTATGTGAAGAAGAACATGGTATCAGGGTTGGAGGAAGAATCATTAGCAATCTGTAACATGCAGATTATACAACCTTGCTTTCTGGAAGTGAACGGGGAGTATAATAATTACTGATAAATATCAAAGTCTACATACTTCAGTATGGATTGCACCTCAAAGTAAAGAAAAAAAAATCCTCACAACTAAGTCAATAAATGACACCAGGATAAATGGAGAAAAGATTAAAGTTGTACAAGACTTCATTTTGCTTGGATCAACATTCATGGAAACAGCAGTCAAGAAAGCAAAGGATGCATTGCATTAGGCAAAGCTGCTGCAAAAGACCTCTTTAAACTGTTCGAGAGCAAAGATACCAGTTTGATAAGTAAGGTGCACCTGACCCAAGCATAGTACTTTCACTCACCTCAGATGCATGTGAAAGTTGGACAACGATTAAGGAAGTCCATAGAAGAATCAATTAATTTGAATTATGGTGTTGTTGCAGAGTATTAAAAGTACTATGTACTACCAAAAGAACAAATAATATTTGTCTTGGAAAAAGTACAGCCAGAATGTTCCTTAGAAGTGAGGATGGTGAGACTTACTTAGTCTTTCATTCTTCAGACATGTTATCAGGAGGGACCATCCTTGATTAAGGAGAGAGTCAATGAGAGACATGGATTAACATCGAGGCTGAAACAATGGCCTTTTCTGATGGTGTAGGAGGATCAGGCAGTGTTTCCTTCTGCTTTACACAGGGCACTATGAGTCTGACTTGACTCTACGGTACCTAACAGCAACAACTTTCTTTTCTTCAGAAGATTTTGGTTGTACTAAAGAAGAGATACATTTGAATTGATTCTATATGTATGTACTGGGCAGGGATAATGTAGTCTGGAGATAACTATTTTTCATCCAATCAACCATTCAAATGAAAATGTTGAAATATTGAAGCCAATGCTAAGCTGTGAGATTCAAAATTCAATAGGATCAAGTTCTTACATCAAGAAACAGATATGAGTATTCTAATGAGAGGCAGCATATGTGTTTAGAGTCAATTGCCCTATGGTACATTCATTTAAAATATATCAAAATTGCTAAAGGATCAGGAGTAATCAAAGACATGTTTGAACTAGTGCGAAATGGAGATCAAAATTTTAAAAGAGGCTAATGATTAACAGCTTTTCAGGTCAGAGTGAATAAGAATCTTCCAGATGGTAGAAGGGTGTAGTGACTCTATTCCGTAAGTACCTGACTGCTAACCGCAAGTTCATTGTTGTTGTTAAGTGCCATTGTGTTGGTTCCTAACCTTTCAATCCAGTGCATTACACCCAGGACTTCTCAGAAACCTTATACAGGATCACTACGAGTCTGAACCGGCTCAACAGCACTTAGCAATGACAAGATGAGAAAAAGGTAGGCCCTAGTCCCAGGTAATACAATCTGGAATGATTTAAAACAACAATAAGAAAGCAAAAAACACCTCAGAAATGCAAACGTCTGAGAGTGACAAAACCATAAAGGCAGTGATCAGTCATTGCATGGAGGTCAGGGACAGGAGCAGGGGTGAGTAAGTGAAGCACAGGGAATGTTTAGGGCTATGAAACTATTGTGCATGATTGTTTATCGGTGCATGCATTTCTCAAAATCCATAAGATTGCACAACACAGTCAATCTGATGCAAATTATGCTAATAATAATTTATAGATACTGGCTTATCAGTTGCAATAAATGTAGCACATAAATGCACAAATAAAGAAAGAAAGAATGCTCAGTCTAGTTACAATGTGAAGAATGAGCTATAAACTGGAAGGCCAGAGACAAAGAAAGGAGTTTGTTGTTGTTAAGTGCCATCAAGTTGGTTCCGAGCCATAGCGACCCTGTATAGGGTTTCTGAGGAGTATAGATATATAATAAATCAGGTAAGTAATGATGATAGGGACACTGGGGCCAAAGAAAACAACCAGATTTGCAAGATGTTTACAAGGTGAGACAAGTAGCAACTAACTAGTGGTTGATTATAAATGGAGGTGAAGGAGAAGGAAGATGTAAAAGGAACTCTCAGGTTTCTGGCATTTGCTGCTGAGCTGAGAGTTAAAACATTTCACAGGAGAAATACCAAAGGAATTTGCAACAGGATGAATTTGACATGCCTATGGATCTGTGTTGGAAGAAGTGCAGCCAGAGTGCTGGAGGCCAGGATGGCCAAACTTCATCTCTCATACTTCAGACATATTGTCAGGAGGGACCAGTCGCTGGAGAAGGATATCATGTTTGGTAAGGTAGAGGGTCAGAGAAAAAGAGGAAGACCCTCAACAAGATGGATTGGCCAAGTGGCAGAATCTATGGACTCAAGCGTGGCAACAATTGTGAGGTCGGCCCAGAATCAGGCCGTGTTTTCTTCTGCTACATAGGGTCGCTATGAGTCAGTACTGACTCTATGGCACCTAACAACACAACAACATGGATCTTTCAAGTAAAGTCTTTCAAGTAAAGTATATTGTTGCTAAGTGGTATTAGTCTGTTTCGACTCATAGTAATCCTGTATAGCGTTTCTGAGTTGCAGCTTATGGGTTTGAACTGCCAGCTTGGTGTTTAGCAGTTATTTGAATGTGAAATTCAGAGTAGAGATCTGAGTCTTCTGTCATTGCAGCCATTAATGTCCTTATGCATGACAGTCCCATCCTACATATTGTAGTCTTTTAAAAGATACCAACAGTAAGGCCATACATTAAACCAGAACAAACCCACTGTTATCAAGTCAATTCGGACTCCTAGTTTCCCTCCATAGCGTTTCCAAAGCTATAATCTTTATGGGAGCCTCTTCTTTCTCCTGCAAAGTGGCTAGTGGATTTGAACTGCCACGCTTGTTGTCAGCAGCCCAGTGCTTATTCTACAGTGTAACTCCATGTTACCCACCGAATATAGTTAAACCTTATGAGTTTGGAACTCACAAACCCTAGCAATCTATATTTGGCTTTATCTACAAATGATATTATATGAAAAGATAAAACCTTTCTTAAAGTCGTCAGAGAATCATTAGATTTTAGCATAATTCACAAATTATTCATATTGTTGATTTTGAGTCACAAAGCAAATAGATAGTTTTCAGAACTTATATTTGGACAGCCAAGTGGAACATTGGTTAAAGTGCTTGGCTGCTAAGCAAAAGTTTGGCATTTGTCAAAACCCAATCTTTAGGAAGAAAGACTTGATGATCTGCTGCCATGAAGATTGTTGTTAAGTGATGTGGAGTTGGTTTCAGCTCATAGCAATCTTTTATAGGGTTTCCAAGGAACCCTCATATAGGCTACAGCCTAGGAAACCCTATAGGAACAGTTCTACCTTGTCCTGTATGATCACAGTGAGTTGGAATTGTCTCAACAGCACAAAACAGAAAGAACAAGTAGTAACTACAGGAAAGCAATATTTCAGTGCATGCTTCTGCATGCTGTGCAGTCAGTTCTGACTCATGAATAGAGTTTCCAAGAATGTAGATCTTGATGGGAGCAGAAAGCTTCATCTTTCTCCAGCAGAGTGGCTGGTGGATTCAAACTGCTAACCTTGCAGTTAGCAGCCCAACACGTAATGCAATATACTACCAGGGCTCCTTGGTTTGGTACATTGTTGTTGAGTAAGTTCTGATTCATAGTGACACTGCATAGGGTTTCTGAGGAGTCTCTGGTGGGTTTGAACCACCACCTTGTGGTTAACAGTTCAGCACTTCTTCTACAGTACCACAACAGGATTTTGTTC